CTGCCGCTGCCTTCGACACACGGATACGCAGCTCACTGTGCATCTGCTGATCAGTCGACATCACACTCCCAAGATAGCAGAAACGGGAGGTGGTTTCCAATACTTCAGCGCCAATGCTGTTTTGCGGCCATATTGCAGATTGCACCTCCGGAGAAGGCTGAAAGAGACAGATACTTTTGGTTGTGTTGATGGTGAGCCAGAATTTGGTCGCTGTCGTAGCCAGAGCTCTAGTCATGTGCTGCAACTCATCCGCGCTGTGTGCAAACAACGCACAGTCGTCAGCAAACAGCAACATACGGATAGTTGTCTCACAGGCTAGTGTTCTCGCACCGAAATGAGGGATGTTCAGCAACCCACCATCAATACGGTGCTCCACACGAACGCCGTAAGCACAAGCCGCATTGAAAGCACAATACATTATTGCATGAAGATATATATTAAACAGGACAGGAACTAAGACCCAGCCTTGCTTCACACCAGAGACAACTGCAAAGTCATCCGAGGTCTCTCCACTCAGCTGCACCCTCGCTCGCATACCACTGTGCAGACATTCAATTAAACTTACAAACTTACGCGGGCAACCAAATTTACCCAACACCAGCCACAATGTCTCGCGGTTCACCGTATCAAATGCCTTGGTGAAATCAACAGAAAGCGAGTACAATGGCTGGTGTCGTTCTCTGCACTTCTCTTGCAACTAACGAGCCGCAAACACCATATGTATAGTACTGCATCATCATCATACACGTTAGCTAGAGGTGGGAAACACCTCAGCTACTGTGACGTATAGTACTGCGACCCGAACGGAATCCACACTGCTCTTCCGCCGCGTTAGGTTCCACAACCTGACTGACGAGGCGGTTGAGCAGGATTCGGGCAATCACCTTGCCCACAAAACTCAGCAAGTTGATGCCACGATAATTCGTGCAACATTGCTTGCTCCCTTTGCCCTTGTACAGTGGTAGCACAAGGGCATCATTCAGCTCAGGAGGCACCTCCTCCTCAATCCTTACACGTTGCACTAAATGGTGCAGCGCAGTCAACAACGCGGGTCCGCCATGTTTCAATACTTCAGGCGGGATCCCGTCGGCCCCAGCACACTTGCCGTTTCGCAGCTGAGCAAGCGCTCTCTGCGTCTCATCCACTATAATCGATTCGCTCCAATTAGCCGGGACACTCTCTTACTTCCAGGTACGTTTGAATAGGGAGGTCAGTGCTTTCAGAGAACCTCATCTCCATCCTTAAATAGTGCAGGTGTTAGGGAATCCGGGCCAGCGGCACGAAAACGGTTAAGGGCTGTGATCGCTTTCCGGACCTCGGCCTCCGAGGGAGGCTCTAAACCTACCGTCCATGGCTCGTCCCGCCTCATCTGAGTAAGAAGAGATCCGGGAGCAGGGCCCAGCTGAACTGATCTTGAAAATGTTCCGCCTAACGAGCCATACGGCGCTCCTTATTGTGTATCAGCGCACCTGCGCTGTCCAATTGTCTCACTGACGCCTGGTTTTCTGGGACCAGTGATGCGGATTAGCTGGAAGAGCTTGCGATACTTGCCTACTGCTCCTGTCTCCTCCATTTCTCGAGCCCTGCTGGTCCCCCAGGCTTCCTTGTTAGCACGTAGGCTCTGCTTTAGTTCACGCCTAATAGCCCGTCTAGTCACATTGTGTTCAGAGCCAGCCGAGAGGTGTCTTCTAGATTCCAACAGATTCACTGACCTCTCGGATATCCAGTAACTGGTGCAGTGACGATGAATAGTGCCACAAGCAGATGCTCCTGCGTCGTGCATGGCGGCCGAGATCCTACTCTGCTGAAGCTGTGTCATTAGGACTAGACAGCGGAAGTTCGGTATGCAGTGCTTCTTGATAGGCTTGTCTGACCGAGGACTGAGACAATTTCTCCGTTGCCACTCGTAGGTGACACTTGGTGCGTCTCCCGGTAAAGTTTATGTAGAAACGACAGCGTACCAACGCAGGTACTCCAGTACGAGCGGCAATCCAGGATGGGACCACGCCAACTGTAACTTATGGCTATGTGGTCAATTTGGGTCCATCGCTGGCCAGCTACAGGAGGACACCAAGTGACACTTCGGCGCCCACTGTGGCAATATACAAGAAGGGCAGTCACACAGACTGTTCTAACCACATGGGTATTAGCCTAACGCCAGTTGTGACAAAATTATTGGCCTCGGTTATCGTTCGTCGCCTCACTGCGGAACGGGAAGTTCGGATTAGGGAAGAGCAAGCCGGTTTGCGCCCAGGACGTGGCTGAATGGACCATGTATTCACTTTGCGGCAGGTGCTAGAGCAGCGCCACGCATACCGCAGACCGACAATAACCGTGTTCCTCGATTTCAAGGGTGCCTTCGATTCAGGCGGTCGATCGATTCTGTTCGAAATACTTCCGCGGAAATGTGTTCCCACGAAATATGTGAACATCCTTCGTGCTCTATACTCGAACACTACAGGCCGCGTCAGGGTCTACGGTTTCCTATCGGATAGCTTTCAGACCACAAGTGGCGTTCGTCAGGGTTGTCCGATTTCCCCATTTTGGTACAATTTCGTCGTGGATTCTATCATGGGATGTTCCCTTGGGGAATCTCACGATGTAGGCGTTGAAGTGCTGCCTGGTGAAAGGTTAGTTGATCTAGATTATGCGGACGATATCGTCTTGCTTTTCATCGATGTTGGGGCGGCCCAATCGACCCTGAATAGCCTGTCCAGAGTGGTCCCATTATTTGGTATGCACTTCGCACCTTCAAAGTGCAAAATGTTGCTGCAGTACCACCATCCACTTGATGACCCCTTGACGCTTGGTAACGTGCAACTCGAGGTGGGTGATCATTTCACTTATCTTGGCAGCTGCATCAGCAATGATGGACGCATAGAAACTGACGTCAGCTCACGCATTGCAAAGGCCAGAGCTACCTTCTTGAACCTGCGTCATCTTTGGCGACAGAAGGGAGTTTCCCTCCGTCTGATTGGCCGCGTATAGAAGGCCACAGTAAGGGCCGTTCTGCTCTTTAGTAGTGAGACGGCCCCTTCGGTCTGAAGATCTGAGGCGCCTTCAAGTCTTTGATCATCGTTGTCTGCGAAGCATTGCTGGAGTCGGATGGCACCAGCGTGTCCGCAACGGTGATGTGCGTAGGCGAGTACTAGGTGGTGATAATCATGCTAACTCCCTAGAACAACAGATAACACTGAATAAGTTGCGTTGGATCGGGCACGTGCTATGTATGCCTGGTCACCTTTTACCTAGCAGGGCCTTGTTTAGTCTGCCAAGTGTAGGGTGGCGCAAGTCTCGAGGTGGACAGAAGTTGACTTGGCAGCGGGAAATGAAGTCACTGACGACCAAACTGGGTGCCGTTGGTCCGTCTCGCCTTCCTGGCTGGAGTCCAAGTGACTTGTCTTGTGCTTGGCTCGAGACTTTACAGGACATGGCTCGCAGTAGACACCAGTGCCGTCTCCTAATCGGATTGCCTGTTTAAAGTGTGTTTGGTGCTAAGTTATCTGCAGGGTAATGACTGATTATGACGCGGGGCAGTGAAAGCTGCAAGGAAGCTGTCTAGCCGATGCCGCCTTATCTTTGCACGATAGCCAGCTGTTTGTGACAGTATGTTGTCTACACAAGGTATAAGCGCCTTGACCGTGAATGTTTGCTTAGGACACTAAGATTTTCAGGTAAGTCCCCCTTCTCTCCTTTTTCTTATTCTTTATTCCATAGGCCATTATGGTTATATGGCAGCGAAGCATCAGTTCAAATGGCTGATGTACTGATGTTGATGATGATGCGTCTCATCTACTGTCAGCGTATCCGCCAGATCTGCATTATGTCTGCAGTCTGTGTGCAGGTACCGCCTGAACTACCATCGATCAGCGTCCTCAGCGGCTCCAATCTCGGTCCATACACCGCGTTCAAGGTGTCAAATAATTCCTTGTGTTGGCGGCGTTCGGTGTAGCATTCCATCTGCTTCTCTTTCTCCGTCCACCATGCATTTTTAATGTGACGGAGCTATCGGGTCAGTCGCCGTCGAAGTTTGCGGAACTGACTCTACTTCCCCAAGTCACTGGGGTTGGCAACATGTGCAGCAAATGCTGCATTCTTCCCCTACACTAATGCGTCATTCGTCGCATTGTTGTCATATATATATATATATATATATATATATATATATATATATATATATATATATATTCACAATCTGATTACAGATAATGTGCCACCAGAACCAAAGCGAAGTAAAAGGGGAAACGAAATACCACATGAAGTGAACAACTTTTCGGTTTTACACGCGCCGCTTTCGGAATTTTTTGTCTTTTAGAGTATTATGTTCCATGAGACGGTAACTAATAGATTACCCGGCTGAGCAGCACTGTCTCCAATGGTGGCGGCTGCGCATCATAGCCTTCAACGTTTCTAACCACTGGCAGTCCGATTCGCATGGTTCCCATCCTGGAAGACGTACCCGTACGACGGATGCTGGGCTTGAAGTTGCATTGCTCATGCTCCTTCTTTGCGTCATTGGTTTTCCATCGCGACACATTTTCCAATCGCTTCCGGTGAGCGCAAATAGCACTCGGCGGGGAAGGCGATAGACCGGCATTCGCAAAGTGGGCGCTGCTCGCGATGTGATCGATTTGCGTCCACGGTTGGAGACAGGCTAGTGGACGCTGTCAGTGTCCGACTATTGCTGTCTTTTTCTGTTTTGGAAGTTAACGCCTGGCATTTATAGTCCGGCGTTTTCGCATAAGTGCCATTACCACTTACCATCATCATTACCTGGGCCATCGCCGCCGGCCACCCAGATGGAGCTCATCATTGAGCACTTTTCCACTTTGTTTGTTTGGGTTATCGGCCAGTACCGCATTATCTCTTCATGTCCTATGGCACCGGAACTCGTTCCGTTGACGTCCGAAGTCATCTTTCACAGCAGTTAACATTTTGATTTGATCGGAATTTAGTTCTGCGCTCCTACCTATGCTACCCTGATGTATACTTATCCTTTCAGTTTCCTTTGTCGAAGAAATGCGACATGATACTACAAAATCTTTTTTCGGATGTGTTACCTTTGATGTGGATCCTTCTCGCATGCTACAGTTATCCAGACTATGTGCTAGTCTACCGGCGTTTGCTTCTGAGGCGTTACGCATGTGCCCAAGTAAGATCCATTTAACGTTACTATGTTCATTTTGTAGATCCTTCTGTTCGATTGCACCCAGGTGAATGGTTGGTAATGGTCGTTGGTAACGAATTATTTTTATGGAAATATTCCACTTCTCTGCAAACGCATGTAAGTAACCTATAGATATATGCTCTCTAAGTAGTCATATTTTTCGTTTATCTTTTCAGTCCAAGTTCCTCAGCTGGTAATGCATGTCTTATTTCGAGTAGGTTCTCGTCTTCACTGTTTTAAAGGGATCCTCTTGTGTTAACGAAAGCTTCCTTCCACGCTATGGGTAGTTGCTCGTCAGAAGTATGCTCTGAAACTTTTGCCTTCCGAAACTGTTCTCGGTTGGTTACTTTCCGTTTCCCAGCATTTAGTGGGATTACTTTTACTTCTCTGAATGCTGTCATTATACTACTAACGTTGTTACCTAAATCCGACATTCCCCTTCGGTGCATATTTGATCATCTAGATTCTTTCACGCATGAACTAGTCACATCTCTGGCTGGTCTGTTACGACTCTTGACACAAAAGCGAATATGTTAGCAAAGAGCTCTGGTGAGTTCGCACGTGCGGCGATGGGTCCCATCATGGATTTCGTCAAAGTGTCGGCTTTGGGGTAACAGAACTCTACCTAACTGAAGACAATAACTTTGGAAGGCTTGTTGATCAGTTAGTCGAAGGACTGATATTATTTCATCTTATGCCATAATCTATTTTCCCATCTGAACTATACTCATTGTCATCAAGTACTGTTAAGTTTGTGCATAGAAGATTTTAAAAGGTTGCTGATAAAATCCTGTAGTTCGCCACATATTTGATGACACTACTACCATAGTACTTATGGTCATAAAGCGCAATAAGAAGGCGTTTTTCAATCTATTTACCTGTATTGTAACCCCGAAGTCACCGGTTTGAATCTTCTTACATGCACGCGACTGCAGCATCCCCAGCCCACATGCGACTGTTGGTTGTCGCGTGGTATCGAAGCGGCTGTACATTGTGTGCCGACGTACTGCAGATGCATGCGTCTATCGTTGAGAAAGATTGCTTTACTCTGGAATTGGAATCTTGTGGTGGTTCACTGCCACTCTTAAACTGCTTAGTTTACATAAATGCGAGAAATTTGAAAACCTTATATCCTAAATCAACGGATACAGATGAAAGTGCGCCATTACATTACAGGTCACTGAAAGCACATATGTGCTGGGATTGCCTCATATCTCTTTAACGGCACAAACCATGTGCACAGCGAGAGGGAATAGGGACGTCGCTCGAAAGGAGACATTGAACCAATTAGGGGATAGTGGATAGCCGAAGAGAATTATGAACGGTCAGTTGTAGCGAGTTTTAAGATGACATCCATGACTTCCACGGAGTGGACTGGGACTGTATAGTCTCCTTTAAAAGTAATCTCAAAGGCAGTCCGTTGGGTCTTACAAAAGGAGAAAATAAAGGCTATACATATATGTACATATATGGCTCAACTATCTGCGGAGACTCCCACAAATGTACAAACGTCGAGTGGAGCGGTTGACATTACTGGAAAATGTCCTCGAACTGGACATTGGACCGTCGAAAAATTCATGGAAATCAAGAACCACAATTCGATCAAAGATGGAACGAAACATCTGGCTGTTCTTCACATGTGGATTTTTACACATTTTCAATGTTTTCTACATTAAGCATGTGAATTAATACAATTATATACACCGGTCTTCCACTGCTTCTGGTTGCGGGCCAAATCTTAAAGCAAGGTAAGTCACTGTCACAACTTGTCCTTTGGTCCCTATCCAGGAAGACGTACGAGTCCAACGGCGGCTAGACGTGACGCAAGCGATTTCATGGGCTATCGCCAGGTGGAATGCTGACCACCACGCGGTCGCCTCCAGCCCGGTCCTGAACGAGCGAACAAATCGCGGCGCGGCGCGGCGCGGTGCGGCGAACGCTCAAGCGCCATGCACAGGAGGTGACAGAGTCATCTCAACTGGCGCAGCAATAGCAGCTTATTAAAGGGATATTCGTATTTCCCACGACGCAACGTCTAACGTCGCCACTATGAACTAGGGGTTGCCAATGCATACGAGTGATCCCCATCAAACAACCTTTGTCGAAGGCGGAAAACGGCGCATGTTCTCCACGAGAATTGGCTGACTTGCTCCCATACAACAACAGTGAACAGAGGCACTGTGAATGCAGCTTTTTATCGAAACGGCAATCTCCCAACGACGCCACAAGTGCACCAGGTTGACAAATGTCGATCGGACTTCAACCATGCGATATTGCTGCGAGCAGAAACACAACTCCGAAGCTAAACAAAACTATCTATCTGTTTAATTTGTGTACCTTCAAGCGTGAGCACGGGAGCGGCTGTGAGCCAATCCTGGAGCAGCACTTTTCTGATATGTCTCAACCACCAAACAATTCAGAATGAGTCGCTTCCACTGTGGATCGTCAACAAGTAAGACGATATTGTCAGCATAATCTAAGTCGGTCGCTCGCTCACCCGGTGAAAGCTCTAAGCTAAAATTGTGAAAACATAGAGATGTCGACCGAGCCTCTTCGATTGGATAGTTGAAGAGGAATGTGGACAAAGCGCAGCCCTGTCGCACACCTCTATTGATGGCGGAGGGCGAGAAACGCTTGCCGTAGATCCTCACTGTTCCGGGTATATGGAAGTAATGTGCGCGATGGTTAGTGGTATGCTTCTCTGGCATCCAGTTTTTTAGTAAACGTCGCCATAAAACAGGTTAATCAACCGAGTCTGATACGACAGTAGTGGGTCTGTGGTAAACGTGGCGGTGTTTAAAGAATGGGCGATGCGTGAAGGACTAATCAAAGCATCCACGACCGGGACGAAAGTCAGCTTGTTCTTCACGGTAGCATGATTTACGTATTGGGGATAGTTTACGAAGCGGAATGGATGCCAATAGCTTGGAAGCAACCGATATGAGCTAATAACTCCGATTGACACCTGAGGTGCGCGCCTTTGTTGCAATTCATCACCATCATGGCGTTGCTCCAACAATTGACGCAAATTGAATTTGTGGTTGCTGCAGCCGCGACCTCGACGAAACTTGGCTTGGTCTTCACGGATCTGACTTTTACGAATGCCAGTCTGTGGAGAATGACAGATGCAAGCACTTTAGAGGCGATTGAAATCAAACTGGTCTCTATGATTTCCTCATTCCGAACTGGAGCTTCCTTTGAAACTTGGGACTATTACGGAGCGGCTTCAATATGTCAGGACAATTTCCTGCTCCCAAACTTTCACTAGCAACTCGTGTAAATCATTTACCAGAGCAGATCCCCCGAGTTTGAAGAGGGCTGGGGGAATTCTATCTGGCTGTGCCGCCTTGTGGAATTTCAACAGCCTGATCTCACGTTTGACTTCTGTACCTGAGGTTGGATCCAAGGAAATTGCCTAGGAAGAAGGGCGTTCAATGCCTGAAAAAGAAACCGGTAACTCAGGTTGGTTAAATTCCCCTACAAAGTGTTCGGCGCAACGCTCCAAGCGTTTTGACAGGCTGTGGATCGGCCGTCCACTCTCGTCGCGTATTGTCTCGCTAACACCAGGTCTCCTGCTGCCTGTTTCCCGTATGAGACGGAATAACTTACGATCATTACCGACGGCAGCGGCTGTTTCAATTCCCGAGGCACGATGAGACCACCAGACTTCTCGGTCACTCTTCAGACTAGCACGCGATTTCGCTTTGCGATTTTTACGAGTCTCATTGTATTCGCTTCCAGAAGGAATACGTAGTCGAGCATCCATTAGTTCTAGAGACTGTAAAGACCCGATGTTCCGCTTTGTGATTTGATTTGCCACATGAAGAAATGCCTGCGGATAGTAACGTTTGGCGTACATGTATCCGGTGATTTTCGACGGTGTTTAGTGGGCGCTTACTCAGCCCGGTTGTCAGCGCACTTTGTTGTACATTCAGAACACCTGGCTTCGCCAGCTACCCGGCGCTCACATCGACGTTGCGGACGTTCGCCGAAACGCGCCCGAAGGTCGGCACACACGAGCGCGTGATCGGATCCCACGCTGGTGCTCCAAATCGAGCGACAGTTTTAGACACAGCCTCCAGCTGTTCTTGATCGCGATATGATCGATTTGCGTCCATGACTATTGAGAGGTTAGTGGACTCCAATTCACTCTTCTGCGCGTGCTGTTTCGCAAGTTTACTCGCGAGGAAGAGACGAGCATCTTCACACAGCTGTAGCAATCGCTCACAATTATCAGTACTGGGCCTACACCATGTTAGCCGCTCAGAAGAAGCTCATCGGAGGACAATTTTCCGACTTGGGCGTTTAGATCACCAGCATGCACCACAATATTCGTGCTACTTCTGTAACGAACGTTGTCGTTAATTTTGTGATAGAAATCATCTTTCACCGAATCAGTGCTACAGTTTGTAGAGGCGTAGGCCGCAACGACAAACAGGCACCGTTTGTCCCCGCGCGACTTCGAAGCATGGAACGAACCAGCTAATCTAACGGCGCACATCCTACTGTTTACTGGGATCCAATCGATCAGGGCAGCTTCAGCCCGGGGACTCAAAACAATGCCGACGCCAGCTTGGCCGGCATTTGAAGCTGCATTCTTGCCAGACAGGCACAGTGAGAATGTGCCGCCACTGTCGCATGTGGGGGATCGTAGGGTAACTGCGGAGCTCGAACCTTGCAGGCGGGTTTCTGACTAGCAACAAATATCGATCGATAGGGTCTCTAGTGTGCGGGCAAGTGCTGCCTGTTGGCCAATCTGTAGCAAAGTGCGCACGTTGAGGCATGCCAGTTTTAGCGAGATGCGAGGACTCCAATGGGAAACAGATGAACTGACGTTGTCAGCTTGGTTGAACATGGACATGTCGATTGGATTGGACCGAGGCCCTGCGACTGTTTGTGATTTGAAACTAGAAGACAAGCGACTATTGAAGCAAGCTGGGGGAGGGCCAACAATTGGGGGATTAAAATGGGGGAATAAAAGTAAAGTTGGAGTGGGACGATAAGGGTAAAATAAGCGCAAGATGCGGAATAAGAAGATGGGAAGGCCTGAGCAATAGCATCCAAACCCCTATCCACCCTGCTCGATGCAGCAGATAGGGCGCCGTTTATTATCCTCT